TTTTAAGCAAATAATTTGCCTGTATTAGGAGACCCCGCCCTTTCATAAAAAGTAATTTTATCTTTTAGCTGATTATAATATTATGGGTGATACTACAAACTTAAATAGATCAATTAAGACAAACAAAAAAATAAAAAATTAAAATAAAAATAAAAATTAGCGTACATATATTTGTTTGTGTATTGTGTGTGAGTGTGCGTGTGTGTATGTGCGTGCGCGTGTGTGTGTGTTTGTGTGTGTGTGTATGTGTGTGTGTCCGTGTGTGTGTGTGCGCGTGTGTGTGTGTGTGTGCGCGTGTGTGTGTGTGCGCGTGTGTGTGCGTGTGTGAGTATTTAATGAATATGTTCTAACAGTTTTTCCGTATCATTGTAACTAAGGGTTTTTATCCAATCTATTAATGTCTTTTTGCATTTATGGTAATTGTAGGGGTAAACATAAATGATACTGTTAATTTTATTATATAATTGTGCAGATCTTTTATCGAATTGCATTGACGCAAATGTTGTTCTTGTTTGTGGGATTTTAATTATATTTTCTTTCCTTCTTTTTAATGTTAAAGACGCATCATAGGAAACAGCCTTATGTACTTTTAGTATAGTTTGAGTAATATACAGCTTTCTAACTGAGAGCAGTGTGCTAACTTGGTACAGATTCTCAGTTGGAAATGTAAGTTTTTTAAAGTACATACATTTTATTAGAGCACGTTGTGCTCTCTCAAGTTCAATAAACTTCGTTTTAGCAGCTCCGCCCCAAATCGGGATACAATATGATAGCACTGATTGTACTAAGGCAAAATATATTTCATTCAAGAGATTTCTGGGGCGAGATGAGCTGCTAAAAACTTGTTTAGGGACTATGTGTCTTAGGGACCGAAACATCCAGCTCAATTTTCTGACTCTGTTTGCCACATGATCGATTTGGGAATGCCAAGATAATCTCTGGTCAATGAAAACACCCAAATACTTAGCACATGGAACCCTCGTTATATTTAAGCAACTGCAGGTAGTGCTTTTATCATTATTACACAGATGTATTTTTATATTGAAATCTTCTCTAGGTTGTTTACGTTTTACATATGCTAAAGCATATATAATTTGTTTTAGAAATGTTCAGTGTGAGTAGGTTCTTAGACAACCACCTGGCTACTTTAGCCAACCCTATTTCGGCATTAAGCCGTACCTCGTGCCAAGAATTACCCGTAAAGACAAGAGCTGTATCATCAGCATATGAGAATACCTTAGTATTTGTTAGTTGTATATTACAGAGCTGGTTTACATAGATGACAAACAGAGTAGGTCCCAGGACACTGCCTTGCGGAACACCATATGATACGTCTGTATATTCACTTGTGTAATGAGTAACCCTAACTTTCTGCTTCCTATTTGAGAGGTAGTCATTTAAGAGCTGTAGTGGAATTCCACGTACCCCAATATGTTCAAGCTTTTTTACAAGAATTTGGACAGAGACAGTATCAAACGCTTTTTTTAGATCAAGGAATACAGTTAGACACGGTTTACCGTTGTCTAATTGTTCTGTTACAATTTTAGTTAGTGCAGTTACTGCGTGCTCGGTGGAAATGCCCTGACGAAATCCATATTGTGATTTTGAGATGATATTATAATCTTTAAGGTATGTTAAAAGCCTAATATTAATAAGTTTTTCTATTATTTTGGATATTGAGGGTAATACTGAAATAGGTCTATAATTTGTTATGTCGTCTCTGTCCCCACCTTTATGAACAGGCGTAATAATAGCCTGCTTTAGAGGACTAGGAAAAATACCTTTTCTAAAGCAGAGGTTAGCAAGGTGAGTTAATAAAGGAACGATATCCTTTCTTATATATTTAAGAAATCGTGTTGGTACATTATCCCAACCAGACGCACTATCAGATTTAAGACTCATTAAGACACGATTCACTTCATCTTCATCTGCATCTAGCAGAACGAAGGAATTAGGTTGTGAAGGTGGCAATGTATAATGGTCGTCATTGGAGGCAGAGTGACATGGCTGTATTTTTTGTGTAAGATCTTTTCCGATGTTCGCGAAATAATTATTAATGTAGTTAACGGATTCTAGAGGTGATGATCTTATACTTAATAATTCTTCACTATAATTATTTTTTTGGTTAGAGTAAGATATTGTTTTTAGATTATCCCAAAGTTTTTTCTTATTAGAAATATTATTAATAATTAATTCTGTCTCATACTTCCGTTTTAATTTTTTTATTAGATTGTTGCAATGGTTTCTGTATCTTATATATGCTATTTTTAATAATTCATTATAAGGGTCGTGTTTAAGTTTTTTTTGTAATTTATTGCGGTTATTTATACAACGAAGAATACCTGGACTAATCCAAGGTTTTATTATGCGTTTACTATTTGGAATTTTAAGATGGACTGTATTTTTATTAATTGATTCAGTTAGTTTGTGTATTAAAAGGTTAGCAAGAGACTCCGGGTTGTCGCAGAAAAGAAGGTTAGCAAGATTATTATCTAATAGGTATTTATAAGCTTCTTCAAAATTTATAGTTGATTTAATTTTACTGGCAGTATATATATTATTTAGTTTGGATAATGATAAAAGAGTTGTGTAGTGATCGGTGATACTAGAACAATCATACATATAACATATACACACAAATTTTACAATTTCTATTAGTATGATTTCTGAGAAACACTATTTCTGCCTTTTTACGTATATTAGTAAAGCTGTGATCTTATACAGAAATAGAACCACTTTACAAACAAAGTATAAACAAATAAACCTATACATAAATAATGATTCCTTTTAATTCAAACAATTTCCAACATCAGTGATTTCTCAAAACTTACTCCAACTTACGCCATTGCTCAAGAGTGTCGCTAACTCCGACCGTTATCAGTTACATTTGGACGGGTTTAACTAAGTTTTTCTACAAGCTCTAGCTCATTGTTGAAACTTTTAAGTTATGAGAATATAAAGTAGCTTTTTGACATTTACCAAAAAACTTTTTAATAAAACAAATAAAATAGGCAAATTTCCTTCTATTTCTTGCACTATTGGATGTATATAGCCGCTTAATTTTTCTTGTTAATATTATATATTAGCGACTCACCTTCGCTTCGTCCCTATGTTGCTTCCCCATACAAACTATCCCCATTTTCACCCCCTTAAAAGATGACTTCCGGGATAAAAACTATCCTATATCCTTTTCCGGGTCTCAAATTATCTTCTTATTAAATTTTATCTTAATCTGTTTAGTAGTTTCGGATCTTATTCGGTACAAAGAAACAAACAAAAAAATCTAAATTCTTTATAATATTAGTATAAATTTAATAATTTAATTGTATTTATTTGTTTTTAGAACTAAAATCTTATATTGTGAACTATAAATAGTTAGATTACCTACTTACTTTTACTTACTTTTTCCTTGGGAAATACGGAAGGAATGATTTTTCGCTCACATCTGCTTCTTTTGGAGAAAATTCTATTCTTCTTTTCTTTAATCAATATAAATATTTTATGGGCATGATCAAAACTAATATTTTTCACAAAGAAGAAGGTACGTGAGCTCTAAAGTTGTAGAGTTTTAAACAAACATACATCGCCCCTTTAATTCTACCTAAATTGACTTAACTAAAGACATAAGCGTTCTATCTCATCATTGTCGTTTACTTTATTGTAACCTATATACTATCGTAGACTATAATTTAAAAGACTTATCGACATTTTTTCTATCAATATACATACCTCTTAAATCAAAAAGTTATAATGATACATGCAGGATTAGGCCCTATTTACTCATCGGTGTTAAAATTAAGGATGTAAATAAAACTATAAATATACTCACTTTTATATATATATTAACATAATACTCACAACTATTCTTTCGTTTTGTCTCACTTTTTACACTGACACTCCACACGTTGCGAAACAACGCTTATGCACTACACAACACTTAAGCACTACACCTTCACTGCACAAATACACTGTTTTATTAAATAATCACTATATAACACTTCCACTTTGAGTTGACACTTGTCTCTTTGGCGTTCAGTGAGAGACTGTGCTCTTGACAGCATATACCCCCTATTTATGCATTCACAAGCACTGCCATCTATGATTAGGTATGTGCGTGTAGTCAATACAATATCTTAATTATCGTTAAATAACAATATGAGTAACTAAATATTACTAAAAATAACAATGTTGATGACAGTCGGCCATCCGAATAGAATCGTATGACCTCATACGAGATTTAAACAAAATAACTCATTGTAAGAATCAAAGACAAAATACAAGAAAAACATAAAACCATTCATAAGTAAACTTAATTAATTACTACATTTAAAACAATTCTGTCCTGAATACAAGGCAACAGGCCCCTTACGTCCTGAATACCAAGTAACAGGCCCCTTTTTAGTCCTGAATACATGGCAACAGGCCCCTTACGTCCTGAATACCAAATAACAGGCCCCTTTTAGTCCTGAATACATGGCAACAGGCCCCTTTCGTCCTGAATACCAAGTAACAGGCCCCTTGTAGTCCTGAATATAAGGCAACAGGCCCCTTATGTCCTGAATACCAAGTAACAGACCCCTTGTAGTCCTGAATACATGGCAACAGGCCCCTTACGTCCTGAATACCAAGTAACAGGCCTCTTGTAATCCTGAATACTCGAAAAAAATGCTCTCTGACAGTAAACATTTCAATAAACTGCAATTTATGCAAAAATTATAACAACGCATTTTGACCAATAATATATTATATAAAATCACAAAATTATATTTTAAGTTAAATAACCTATAAAGATAGAAAGGTTGTATAATGTATAATGATACTAATTTCACACAAGTCCATTACTACATAACAAAATAAATTATCTTAACAACGGAAGAGTATTTATTATATTTAATCAATTTAATCATTATATTTAATTATATTATTTATTAACTATATTTCGTAATTATATATTCAGCAAAAATTTAAATAAAATACATAGATAAAATATTCTTAGTTCATTTATCACGAGATTCCTCATCGTCAGATTCACTGGAGTATGTCCCACTCACGTGTGGTCTATTGAAATTAAGCCATGGTTTAATTTTATCAATAGCTACGATAGTCGAGAAGCTTCTTCCTCTCTTTGAAGTCAATGGCGTGTCTTCTATGGCAAAGCGATCATGGTCTAAAATAGATGCGATTCTATAAGGTCCCTGAAACTTAGGCACAAGTTTTTTGCTCTGTCCTGTTGCAGGTACTTGGCGTTCCACTCTTACCAAATCCCCTACATTATATTTCGGAGGGATACAACGGTGCTTATCGAATGATTCCTTTTGATTTAGTTGGCATGCTTTAATATGAGTGTTAATTTCATCCCTTATATTAGCTCTGTTCTTGTCCAAATCATGTATTATTTTACTTTCAGTGGATCCCGTAGGTCTTACCCCAAATAGAGCTTCCGCGGGAGTTCGATTTATACCCTTATTGAAAGTATTATTCAGACCCCACTGAATATCCGGCAAGTGGTCATCCCATTTATTTTCAGATATACCAACTGACTTGGCTGTCAATGCGTCAACAATAACTTTATTGTAACGCTCCACTTGCCCATTTGCCCTTGGGGTGGCCACAGCATTCATCACGTGCTTAACATCTTTCGCGTTGACTAATTTCTTAAATAAACTACTAGAAAAAGAAGTTCCTCTATCTGAAATGATTCTTCGTGGTACGCCAAAAATTCCGAAATATTCCTTGAGTACTCTAATGGTACTATTAGATTTAGTATTTCTCACCGGCTTTAAATAAATATACTTTGTGTAAGCATCGATTATTACTAGAATATGCATGTTGCCTCTACTGGAGCGCACAAATGGGCCGACATGATCTACATGAATGGTATCAAATGGAATGTCAATCTTCTCAATAGGATGAAGATAACCAGGCTTCTTACCTCCAGTTGCTTTGGCATAAGAACATTCAAGACAGGAAGCGACATATTTTTTTATAAAGCTTCGCATTTTTGGAAACCAATACACGGATTTAACCTTTTCCAATGTCTTATCCATAGAAAAGTGTCCTATATCATCGTGATTGATTTTTAGTATTTGCCAACGTACCCCCTTAGGTACTACCCATCTGTCACCGTCTGGAGTAATCCTAAATAATTTATCACCCTTTAATTTAAAATTAGTTTTTATATCTATTATGTCATCTAAATTTGGATCCTTAAGTATCTGGACTTTTCTTTGAATCTCGGAATCAGCACTCTGGACGGTAGCAAGCCAACTTTCCTCAGTAACGCTCCTTACCATACAGGAAGCGATCGGAGAAGAATTTGGAACCGGGTTACGACTCAAGGCGTCAACATGAGCCATAGAGACACCTGCTCTATATTCAATATTAAAAGTGTACTCTTGCATCTGTTCCCACCATCGAGCTACTCGTGGTATCATGTCTCGTTTTTGAAATGTTGCACGCAAAGAGTTGCAATCGGTTACAATTTTGAAAGTTATGCCGATAAGGTATACTCTGAATTTCCGAAGGGATGCCACCACAGCGAGAGTCTCGAGGTCGTATGAGGAGTAATTCTGTTCTTCTGGACTAGTTTGTCTACTAAAATATGCAACAGGCAAGCGTACTCTTTCCTTATTCAATTGTATTAAAATGCCAGCTACACCTACCTTGCACGCATCTGTGTGAAGCTCCGTCTCAGCGTTTGGATCGTATAGAGCTAAAGTAGGTTTTTGTGTCAATTTATTTTGAAGCTCCTTAAAAGCGGACTGTTGTTCATGCCCCCAATTCCATGATGTATCCTTTCCGAGGAGGCGTGTCAAGGGTTTAGCTATTATGGAGAATCCGGGTACGAACCGTCTAAAGAAACTTGCCAGACCTAGAAATTGCCGCACATTGTGTTGATTTTGTGGTACTGGAAACTTCGCTACAGCCTCTACTTTACTAGAACCTGGTTGTATTCCACCTTTTGACACCTGAAATCCTAAATAGTCCACATTATTACCAAAAAATATACACTTAGAAAGTTTAAGTGTCAACCCAGCACTAGAGAACAAGCTCAGAACTTTTTCCAAGCGCTTTATACCTTCTTGGAAATCCTTGGCTGGAATTATTACGTCGTCCAAGTATGCAAGAGCTTCTCTGTGACAAGTTGACCCTAAAACTTGGTTCATTATACGTTGGAATGTGGAAGGGGCATTTGCAAGACCAAAGGGCATTCTGTTAAACTCAAAATGTCCCTCTGGTGTTACAAAGCCCGTTTTGTGTTTATCACTTTCTCGTATGGGTATTTGATAGTACCCCGAAGCAAGGTCTAGCACTACTCTAGTGTAGAACTCATTTCCAGCTAATAAATCAATCTGATCATCGATCAGGGGCATAGGATAATTTTCTCTTACAGTTTTTTTATTAAGCGCCCTATAATCTATGCACAGACGGTAATCGCCAGTTTTCTTGCGCACCAGTACTACTGGGCTGGCGTATGACGATGTGGACGGCTGGATTATCCCATTGTCAAGCAGCTCTGTTATCATTTCTCTCACCACCTCCTTTTCTTTTATGGACAGTCTGTATGGTCGGTAAACTACCGGCTCATCATCATGCAGAGTTATAGATATTTCTCCAACTGTAGCCTTACCTAATTCTGCCAAACTCGCGGCAAAACAATTTCTAAAGTTGTTTAAAAGCAATAGAAGTTTCTCCTTCTCCTCAGAAGAAATATTAGGTCCGGTTTTAACCTCATCCATTCTTATCGGTTGATATAGACCTTGAGTTACATTATTAACCGCTATCACCTTTGAATCTACAGTATCCTTATATTCTTCTGCCATATATCCTCGGGCTAATAAATAGTCCTTGTTTATAGTGATTTCCTTACCTGATGCAATACTAACCAATAGCTCTCCTTCTCCGTTATCATTAATGGAAAACAGACCTGCTAACACGGAAAAGACAGTATCTTTTATTAATCTTAATCCTCCCTCTATGTATACGTCACCTGTAACTACTGGCTCAGTATAGACACTAATAACTGATGTACCTGAAACTAAAGTTTCACATTTACAGAACAATTTAATTTTGTAATGCTTACTGGAATAATTAAATGCCGGAAGAAGTTTAAGTTTATCGCTTGTTTTATGGACTACAATATGAGGTTGCTCTGTAAATGTTTGGCCAATCATAACTGGTACATGCATAGCTTCATCTGGTACCACAAATAGTTCTACATCAGCTTCTACTTCATCAATTTTAATTGTTACCAACTGTCTACCCAAAACATTAACAATGGAATTACCGAAACCTTTTAAAGTCGGGAGAGCATCAGTTTCGTATTGGTTATGAGATTTAATAAAATCCGATATCCTTATCATGCAACAATCGCTTCCAAAATCCAGAAACGCTTTGTAAGGAATCCCGTTGACTTCAATTGTTTTTAAATATTTTTCCCCAAGTTGTTTATCATTAGTCACGCGCAGAACATTCTTATCCGTTGTCAATGGTCCTTTAGAATAACACTGCTCTGCGTCATGACCTACTTTCTGACACTTGCCACATTTCTTAACCGGTTGTGGACATTGTGGTACTGTATGTCCTTCTTGCTTACAATTAAAACAGCGTGGTCCCTTGCTCATTTGTTTCAATGAAGACTCCTGAGTTCTATTCATGAATTGATTCCTCGGAATTTTACGCTCATTCGTGCGACTGTTCCTGGTATTTCTAAGATACGCAAGTAGTTTATCAGGATTATCATATTGAACCGCCTCTGCACCCAATCTAATTGACCGATCGTCTATGCCATGAAGAATACATTCTACAGCTCGACTACCTGTTATGCCACATCGATTCAATAAAGCAATTTTATCATAATAATAAGTTTCCAGTGAATCTCCGAATCGGGCGCGCTTGGCTAGCATATCACTAAGCATTTGCCCATAATTTTCTGTGGACGGAAATGCCGACAACAATTTAGTTTGCCATTCATCCCATGAGAAAAGAACAGAAGGTAAGCCTTCATACCAACGCTGGGCAATTCCACGTAATTTTGGTAAAGCAAAATGAACTATTTGTTTTTCAGTCCATCCATAAATAGTTGAGCATTCATTAACCTTATGTAACCACATTGTCATAGTCTGTTCTTTCCTCGAGGGATCGAATTCGGGAATGGTATTATTCATATTTACTAACTTATCTAAATTGTTATCCGTACGACCAGCATATTTAAGTGCATCGAGTAATTGCTGTAACCCACTATTAGCGAACTGAGTTGACTCACCATTGTCCAATAGTCTTCCACGATGGCAACTAGGATAATTCTGGGTGCGAACGCTTCTTCTTGACTCCCGGCTGCGTGGCGTACTGCGAGAACGACTTCGTTCACGACTGCGTAATCGTTCTCGTTGATGGCTACGTGACCGACCTTGTCGATGGCTGGGGACACGGAGATGGTGAAGATGCCTGCTTCGAGATTCGCTGCATTGTCCGGTGCGACGCCGGCTCGGCTGCCTGATATGGAGTCGGCTCGACGATCTGCTGCGAGACCGACTCGACGGCCTTCCACGTGATCGCTCTAGTTGTTGACTACCAGAAGGGAGCCCGTCAGGGCTACGTAACTGACGTGACCTTACCCCTCGTGGGCATGGCCGATTGAGAATCGGGCTGCGAGCTGCACTCGACCTCATGAACTCTACTGGGCTCCGAGAGCGCTGTGCCAACCTATCCATATGGCACGATGAACGAGAAGTTTCTTGAATGTCCACTGAAAAGCCCAAGATTATTACTCGCATAGTGTAGTGCTCATATTATGTAATATCATAATACTAAACTCTTGTATTAACCCATATACATTATTATTATTATTATTTTATGAGATAAGTAGGAGGGTGAGAAAAAAAAATTGGAAAAGGTAGGGGAAAAGAGGAAAAGTACAGTAACATAACAGTACAGAAGTAGAGAAAATTATCAAGGCAAATATAATATACACAATTGAACATAAATAATAAACATTAAAATAAATAATGAAAATAGAAAAAAAAATGAATAAATAAATAATAATTAGTTAAAATACTTACGTCCCATATAAAACACAAAAAAAAAATAAGATAATAAATTAAATAATGTATATGTATATTAAGGCTATAAAATATATACCTTCACAAAAAAAAAAAAAAAATAAAAGAGTAATAATAATAATAATAAACTACATATTATTAATTTTGTGATCCCACTTCTGAAACTGCAGGATTAGGCCCTATTTACTCATCGGTGTTAAAATTAAGGATGTAAATAAAACTATAAATATACTCACTTTTATATATATATTAACATAATACTCACAACTATTCTTTCGTTTTGTCTCACTTTTTACACTGACACTCCACACGTTGCGAAACAACGCTTATGCACTACACAACACTTAAGCACTACACCTTCACTGCACAAATACACTGTTTTATTAAATAATCACTATATAACACTTCCACTTTGAGTTGACACTTGTCTCTTTGGCGTTCAGTGAGAGACTGTGCTCTTGACAGCATATACCCCCTATTTATGCATTCACAAGCACTGCCATCTATGATTAGGTATGTGCGTGTAGTCAATACAATATCTTAATTATCGTTAAATAACAATATGAGTAACTAAATATTACTAAAAATAACAATGTTGATGACATACATACCTTTTTTTATTGCTTAATGGTGAAATAAATTCAACAAATTCAATTCAATTTGAAAGAAAATTTTTTAGTTACCATTTTGTTCTCTAGCTCTAATAGATTATGACAAAGATATATGCACACCTGCAACATTCAACGCCAAGTTAAAATTGGGATACAGAAAGCACCGGAAACGCCCCTCTTAATGGAACTTTCAAACTCCATAGCTCGAGTGTCGTGAACTCCAACTTATCAGTCATACAGTCGAATGGAGCTTAACTAATGTAACTTTTTCTACTTGTTAGTTGTAACTTCAAAATAATGGGCTTATAAGAACGTATATTAGCTGAGATCAGACGTTATCTGATGCGTAGATTTAGAGTTTAATGTAGTGAGAATTGTAATTTAAGTTTTCGCTAACTTAATTATTCTTACCCTTAAAATTAAGGAAGGCTGAAAAAGTAATTTTGGTTTAATTTTTGTTTTGCTTAGTTAATTAATGAAAAAAGAAATTTTAAATGAAAAACTTTGGTATTGCAGTGGCAAAACTTTAAAAATGGAACGATTTTTATGAAACGTATGATTATATTTATATCTTTTGTAGAATAAGCAATCATTATAGAAGTGATATGTCATTCGTTTCTTAACCTTTTGACATTTAAATGAGTATTTGAGACTGGCATTCTTAACGGTGAGCTTTATTAACGAGACTGACGCTTATATTACATATACATACGTCTTACATATATAACATACTAGCAGAATCCGCGGCTTCGCTCGCGCTAAAACTACAAAAAAACTCTTAAAAGATTGTTTCATACAAACTTTCATCCCTTATTTTACCCTCTTGTAGGATGAATTTCAAAATTTTTTTCAAAGTTTATTTAATTTTATTGAAGAGCGTTAATACCAAGTTACAAGACGTAATTCTGATCATGAATACTTTTTTGGATTGTTTTATAACGTGTTTTCCTGTGTGAATTAGACAATCTCCCGCGGTAAAAAGTAGCCTATGTCACTCTCCAGCCCTCCAACTATCTTCAGTCAAAAAATCACGTCAATCTATCACTCCGTTTCGACGTGAAAAAAGGACAAACAAACAAACAAACAAACAAACAAACAAACAAACAAACAAACAAACAAACAAACACACTTTCACATTTATAATATTAAGTATGGATGTATAAATACAGTGACCAAACAAAAATATTTTTTATTGCGAGGACTCGGATACAAAAAAACAAATGTAAATATCGCTTAAAAAAACGTCAAGCGATCATGCAAGTAAAAAATACTTCTCCCGACGAAAGTGTATTCTTCAGTAGAGATTAGGCATCAAAAGTTCCTTTCAAAACCTTATAATTATACTATATAATACAATTATAATAATAATTAAAAAAAACACGCCATCGTGAATAAAGCTGTGAGACCATCTAAAAAATAAAATTGTTCCAACAAATCAAAATAAACCCGCAAAAAGGCACAGTATACAGGATTCATTCGCGGCATTACGTCCAACGACTGCGATATAAAGAAAAAAAAAGCAGAAAAAATAAAAGGTCTGAAAGAAGGATTTGCCGCACCATTAATTCTCGTTTCATTTAAATGTGAATTAACATTTAATGTGGTTATCCGTATCTCGGGACGGATCTAGCCTATGAATATTAAAATATATCGATCATTATTAATCGGGACGATTCCTTGGTTGGCATAAATTATTACACCGTTTTAGAAATGGTATATGGGCGAGTTAATAAAAGTTATATATTCAGCTGTCTTTATAGCACCACTGCTGGGTACGGGCCTCCCTTCAATATAAGAGAAATCTAGCCATAGCTCACCATGCTGGCCAAGTGCGGATTGGCAAACTTCATATATTTTTCAAAAACTTGCTAAGTTCTCTGAGACATTCAGGTTTCCTCATGATGTTTTTCTTCAAAGTGATACAAGTGGTAATCATGTTGCTAATGATTCGCACATGAAAACATAGTACAGAAACCCTGGATTTGAACCCGTTTCACTCGGTTTCCTAAGCGCGAACATTACCACTGGGATACCAATACCTTCTGCAATAAAAATAATGTGTTTACTTTAATTTGTCTAAAAATTAGTTATAGAATATCCTTGACCAAGCAGTTTATACCATGTTCTTGTTATACAGTCGCCTTGATTATGTATTTAATATTAAAATATTTTGTATTTTTTATGGAATTTAATTGTAGTATTCATTATAATATGTAACTTAAATTTACAGAAATACCATAGTATGTATTGTATATGTTTATATTATATTGTATTTATTTAGGCTTTTATTTTCTTATTGTCTCTTTGCACTTTCTCTTTTTGTTCCGGTACTTAACACTATTTCCCACATGCATGGGTTGACTGGAAGAGATCTCTTATAGAGATAAGTCCACCTTTGTTCACATCACTTTCTATATAATTTCTCAGTAACTGTTTGTGCAATAAATAATTTACAATAGTATGTAACATATTCAAAGAAAATTAGACATTACTCAATTTATGTCTAAGACCACTTTAGTTTATTATAAACAGTACTCTTATTATTATACCATGGCACTTATATACATATATACACCATATTAACATTTTACCAATTTGTAGAATGAAATATTATTGTCGAAGCAAAATAAACTGTGTAAAAATTAAAAAGATCCTTTATTATCCTCACTTCGGTGTCACAATTTCCATTTAAAGTCAATTGAGAGGCAAACCGATCGAGATAGTGGGCGTATAATTTTTGCCTTATTTATTACAGAGTAGCTGAATTAGCGTTGAGATAACCATTAACTAAACGATCATTCGTCGTCAGTTTGAAACGTTGTAATTATCTGCTTGAAGAGATATTGTTCTTGATTTTGTAAGAAAATCAGGTCAAATTTAATTGCTTTGGTGTTTTGATGAGGATCTTTTAGTGGTGCGGAATAAAAGTACTTAATTATGGCATTGCATCCATAATAACCTGGTAGCCTATAATAAAATTTAATATGGCATGTTAAATCGAACGGCTATTATAAATGTGAACGTTGTGTATATTTGTTAGTACTTCTTGCTTAAACGAATATACGGCTTTAGAGATAATCTATAGTATAATATTATTATAAAGAGATAAAGTTTGTGAGTTAGTGAGATTGTAGGGGGTAATCTCTAAATCTATTATTCCGATCTACTAAACCGATTTAGATGAAAGGTAAGAAGATAGTTTGAGACCCTGAGAAGGATATAGCTTAGAAAATGATTTTATTATTGTGATTTATTATCATTACTTCCAGGCACTAAAATGTAAAAAATAACTAAACGGGGATTTTTCATTTAGAATATATACCTAATCAGATATTTTCGAAGTCGGTGTCAGCCGACAATATTTTCAGATATTGATATCTAATAGGTAAATATGTATTTTACGTATCGAAATATATTAGATTTGCTTTGCATCGGCTAAAAATACATAATAATATTACGTTTAATTTTTATTCTTTATAAAACGATTGTGTATTCATAAAGTACAACGCTATTTCTTTAATAATCCAAGTAATTGATGGCTTGCAAAATGACAACTAAAAATTGCCTTAAGAAATGCTGACAGAATTACACGCAGATTGAGGGTTGTGGCATAATGGCACTTCAATATGGCTAACATCTTCGTAAATTGCCTTTCTAACTAGATCGATATTCAACAGGTTAGAGATAATGTAAGGGATGATGCGTAATATGGTTATATGAGGGTGGATATTTCTTTGGGAATGTTTTTTTTATTTTCTTTTGTTTATTTAGGTTCTTGTGTTGCTATTTTGCCAATTACCATGTTTTGATTGTGGAAGAATATATTTAAAATTAAACTCAAATATTTTTTTGTATATTTAGAGCTCCGCACCGGAAAAGAAAAAAAAAGATCTTTTGCAGGACCACTGATATAATGTCAACCTCATTGGCCATCTGGCAAATTCAAAAGTATTTATATCTACTTGATTCTTTCAAATAAGAAAAGAAAAATCATAAGATTAGATATAAAAATATCTGGTTGAGTCACTATCACAATATGGTATTGTGGCTAGTATGTACGGCTAGAGATTTGAAGGTCCGTGTTCGAGTTCCGGGTCGGGCTAA